ATTCTATCTTAAAGCATATGATCTTCCAATTTTTTCAAATTTATGCTTTTATTAGGATGAGCGAATAGATTATTTTCATCGAGAATTGAGGTTGATCTACGATATTAAAAGAGATCGAAAAAAATATTATTACTAAGCAAACTATAATTTTTACGTGTCAAGTTACAATTTAATATGATCAATAAAAAATGCTTATAAATAATAAAAAATAAATCTTGAAATGTAGTTAAACTTAGTTTAAATTTATGGGACTTTGACTATTAAAGTTGATTTTCTTCATCTACAGGGCAGAGGCTGGGTGGGGGCAATTGCCCCATTTAAATTCTGAATATTTGTAGGGTTAATTTAAAATTATAATAAAAATTAATTTTTTTAATCACTCGCCCCCACTCATTTTTTTTAATGCACTAAAAATTTAGACTCAAGGTTCGCCCATAGAGACTTAATTTCACAATTTTTTATTGAATCTCTAGTTATATTTATTCCTTCTACTATGACTCACTTAATAAATTACCGAATCAATCTTTTTTCGAATTCGATTACTAAGACATAAATATATATTTTTGATTAATTATTTAAGTTCAAATATACTACATCATTTTCTAAGATTTTAGATTTAAGCACATAAAAAAATTTGATCTAATTATGATTCAATTCAATTTGATATGCATACACAAATATGTATATGTAAACATTTGATAAAACTAAACAATTAATTGAATTAAAATTACAATGCGACAGACTCTCTCTCACACACACACACACACACACATATATATATATATAAGATTGGATTTTTGATAAAATTCATAATATTTAACAGATTCGAATATGAATTAAAAAAAAGAAATCAGTTGAATAATTAGATTAGATTTAAAATGGGGTTTTCAAGACAAATTGTCATTCGGATGACTCAAAATCTTATCATTGACAAGTACACTCACAAAATAATATGTCAAAATAGCATTTTGTATGAAAACTATATTTATTCTAATATTTTAAAAACAAAATTATATTAGTTTTTCATAGTCGGCTATCATTTTTTCATGTGTATTTATATGTGAAATCTTTGAAAGTTAAAAAAATAATGTGAAGAATTATTTTATAAAAAATGTTAGATTAAGAATTTTTTTTTTATAGAGAATGAAATAATGTGAACGAATTTGATAATTGTTGAATAATCATTCTCTTTAATTTGATAGTTGCTTGTGGTTCTCTTTAACTTGATGGTTGCCTCCACTGAAAAAAATTCTGGCTCCGCCCTGTTCATCTATTCATTGAAATTTGTATTCACAAGAATTTTCATTTAAATGCTTTGTGGAGTATGTATGCGAAGTGCAGGTGTGTTGCGAATGAATTTAGGCTTTTAGCTTAGTGTGTTTCCATATTTAGTGCTTCATTTTTTTGTGTCCATGATTTAGTTTTAATTTTTTGTGAATCATACAGCACCTTCAGATACGAGTTATCGCTAATATACGTACAAAGATGAACAAAATATGTTTTTATGGTGTGTATCTCAATTTGTTGATTTTTCTTTTTTGTTTATTCTCATTCAACCACGAATATGGATGCGTCATCTTCTCTTCTCCATTTTACTACAAGGTACCTCGTAGTGAGAGAGAGGGAGAAAGAGAGAGAGATTTGGCTTACATACTGATGATCAAATTTACGAGATAGGAGGCGGGACTTTAGGTTGTGTTGGGTTCGAATAAGATTGATGGTTGTGGTCAAGGGGGGTGTGTGGGATGGTAATACGACAAAATGGGCGAGGGACTAGGTTTGTGAGGGTGAAGCTATTGGGTGATGAATAGTGAAGGTTTAGGGGGTGTTTGAGGGGTTGTTATCTTTTGTGGGAGACAACTTCATCAAGGTCGATGGGGGTTCGCCGGAATGGGGATACTGTGTGGTTCTTACTGAGGGTGGATTTTTTTGGTGCTGGGTTGTTTTGGTGATTGGTGCTAATGGTATCTTTTGGGCATTCTTAGGGGGAGAGGGGTTTAGTTGGGGGCTGCTATTGAAGGTAGGGGGCTGAGTTGGATAACCAAAGGAGTAATGTAGGTTAATGATTTGACTATTGTTCGGGGGTTCATCCGAAGAAGATGAGAGTTCGACAGCCAAGTAGCTATGGGAATGGGATTTTTTTTAAGCAGAAGAGAGGAAAGGGTAAATTTGTATTTCTCATTTAATTTTCTATCACATGAATCTTTTCCGTCATTTTTGATAGTGGAAAACTAATGGTATGCGTTAATTAAAAATCTTTCAAACTTTAAGGGGTCAATTGTTAAAATTAAAATTATAAAGAGTTGATTGCAACAAGACCTAAACATAGGGAGGTTATTTTGTGATTAACCTTTAAATTATTCACGTACAACCCCGAATCACCGACCATAAGGCTCCTATTTCCATCAGAGTAACCATTCACTCCCTTAATTTCCTCTCCTCTGCCATATCTTTCTCTGTCTCTTACACGCCCCCCTCACCAAAACCCTATCTCTCTCGCAGAATCGACACCGGTGACACCAGGGATAGGTAACATCCGTTCCACCAGCGCACCGCCAACGCCACCAGCAGCACCCAGCGCGATACTGTCTTCTCTCTTCTCATATCCCTCTCTCGCCACCAGCTCCACCAGATCCAAATCCAGATCCAGATACAAATCCAGATCCAGCGACACCGGCCCCCTAGCTTAGGTGACTCTCCCTCCGTCTCTCTGATTCTTGTCACACAGCACCGCCATCCACCAAAATTCAGCACCATCACCGACTGCCATCACCCCACGACCCCCACACCACTCCACCAAATCAAAACACGAATGGTATCTCTCCATCTCCGCTGCCAACAATCACCGGCAGCCCCATCATCACCCATTTTAATGGCTCTGTTTGGGTTTTCAAAGTTCACACCAATTATTTGATTTTTTGCTCCATAGCATAAAGAATCACAAATTGCTACTGTTAGGAAAAGGGGACCCCTCTCACAGTGATGTATTTGTGAATTCTGAAATATTTTGTAGAACATGAATTTTAGAATTTTCTGCAGTCTAAATTCCACTTCAATGTTTGATTGTCTCCAACTCGTTTATATTTTCCGAACTATCTTATTTTTTCNATCACATGAATCTTTTCCGTCATTTTTGACAGTGGAAAACTAATGGTATGCGTTAATTAAAAATCTTTCAAACTTTAAGGGGTCAATTGTTAAAATTAAAATTATAAAGAGTTGATTGCAACAAGACCTAAACATAGGGAGGTTATTTTGTGATTAACCTTTAAATTATTCACGTACAACCCCGAATCACCGACCATAAGGCTCCTATTTCCATCCGAGTAACCATTCACTCCCTTAATTTCCTCTCCTCTGCCATATCTTTCTCTGTCTCTTACACGCCCCCCTCACCAAAACCCTATCTCTCTCGCAGAATCGACACCGGTGACACCAGGGATAGGTAACATCCGTTCCACCAGCGCACCGCCAACGCCACCAGCAGCACCCAGCGCGATACTGTCTTCTCTCTTCTCATATCCCTCTCTCGCCACCAGCTCCACCAGATCCAAATCCAGATCCAGATACAAATCCAGATCCAGCGACACCGGCCCCCTAGCTTAGGTGACTCTCCCTCCGTCTCTCTGATTCTTGTCACACAGCACCGCCATCCACCAAAATTCAGCACCATCACCGACTGCCATCACCCCACGACCCCCACACCACTCCACCAAATCAAAACACGAATGGTATCTCTCCATCTCCGCTGCCAACAATCACCGGCAGCCCCATCATCACCCATTTTAATGGCTCTGTTTGGGTTTTCAAAGTTCACACCAATTATTTGATTTTTTGCTCCATAGCATAAAGAATCACAAATTGCTACTGTTAGGAAAAGGGGACCCCTCTCACAGTGATGTATTTGTGAATTCTGAAATATTTTGTAGAACATGAATTTTAGAATTTTCTGCAGTCTAAATTCCACTTCAATGTTTGATTGTCTCCAACTCTTTTATATTTTCCGAACTATCTTATTTTTTCCAAAAGTGCATTCTTTCATTGCAAATAGTAATGTTACCCTCGCCACTGCCACTGTTGTTTGCTGTGAATCTAATGTCCATGTTTTCACAGTGGGTGTTTTGTTCATGATTGGTACAACATTATGGGGATGTATGTTTTTCGGATTGATTAATTAGTGCTATCTCTTGATATTTACTGTTGTTTTCTATTTTTTCTGCTTAAGGATATGTGACTTGCGGTTGTTTTGCTGGACAGTTGATATTTACCTGGCTTATCAACTGTTATACCTGGGTTATCAACTATATTGGCGTTGTTTTTTGTGTTATGTAGTGACTACAAATAGACAGATACGAACCTAAACAGGAGCGACATGTGTATGAAGGATAGTTTTGAACGCTGCAAAACTTTACGAACAGTTCTATTGTACTTCAAATTTGCTTCANTTGTACTTCAATTTTGCTTCAACTCATGAAATCTATTTCCTATCCAGATACTGATGAATCCAGCAGTAATTTCCGTCATCCTTTGCTTAGCAAATATATCAAAGCTACGAATAATGTGGCAAAAATTTTATGANCTTCAAATTTGCTTCAACTCATGAAATCTATTTCCTATCCAGATACTGATGAATCCAGCAGTAATTTCCGCCATCCTTTGCTTAGCAAATATATCAAAGCTACGAATAATGTGGCAAAAATTTTATGAGTTTCTTATTTTTATTTTATTTTGATTATTTTTAGAATTAGAATACCTAGTTTCCTGTTTCATCTCATCTTTAGATTTTCAATTCTTTAGGTCTCTTATAAATAGCTTATCAGCCCCAAGGCACAAAGAATTACAATATTTTGAGGGTCTTTTGGATCTTAATTGAGAATTCAAGGTTGGTTAGTTGAGTCTCATCTCAGTTATATTCTTTGTTAGTGTTTTGATTGTCTTACTTTCGGAATTTACGGTTTTGTGTTTGTAATTATCCAGAGAAACCATTGTTTATTGATCCAATGGCTAGTTGCTTTTTGCCTGAAGATTTGGTGATTGAAATTTTAACAAGATTGCCTGTGAAATCTTTGATGCGTTTCAAGTGCATTTGCAAAACATGGAATGCTTTCACCAGAAACCTTAGTTTTATCGACATGCATCTCAATCGGAATACTTCGAATGATCTCAATCATCATCACTTGATCAAGCATTTTGATATGAAAGTCAACCGGTTTAACTTATTTCCCAATGAATCTCTTGGTGTGCGACCCCAGAATGTAATTCTAAGTCTTCAACTGCACGGTGCTGCATTTAAAGTGCTAGGACCTTGTAATGGTATACTATGTCTGCATGGGAGTAGCGTTTCTAAGAAGAAATACTTTCATATTATTCTTTGGAACCCAGCAACAAGAGAGTACAGAGTTCTCCCGACATCAAACTTTGGATTCCCGCCCTATAAGTTGGCCCGAGAATGCTATATAGGGTATGGTTTTGATCACAAAACTAAGGATTACAAGGTGGTTCAACTTCTAGGATTCAGAAGGCGCAATGAGAGGAAAAAGGACGAGGTCCGAGCAAAGGTATACTCCTTTAATGCGGATTCTTGGAGGCCTACACATGTTAAGTTGCCATATTTCACAACCAGATATCCTGGATGCACATTATATGTGAATGGGGAGATTCACTGGTCTGGCTTTTGCGAGGGTGATCCAATCATTATTTCCTTTGACATAGGAAGTGAGGAGTGTCGTGTTACACCAATGCCAGTTTATTCTGAAAGAGAGGATAATCCTCTTTCAAAATATTATAAAAGAGAAGAGCATACTCTTTCGATGTTGGATGGATCACTTGCTGTGATTTTTTATTTCTTTGGGATGGTGGGTAAATTGTTTGAAGTTTGGACGATGGAGAAGATTGGGGCGGGCCAACAACCTTGGACTCGCAAATTCGTTATTGATCTATGTCCATATCCTTATCGTCCGTTGGGGTTTTGGAACGACAACCAGCTGCTTCTATACAAACTTCGACGTCCCGGAGGAGATTTGATTTTGTACGACACCTGTACTAAAAGATTAAAAGACCTTCAGCTTCATGTGTTTCCTTTTGGATTCCAAGTTTTACCCTACAAGGAGAGCCTAGTTTCAGTTAAGAAGGATTCTTACCAGGTGGAGAATTGATTAATAATCCTTGCGCTAGAATTTCAATTCTATTTCCAGTTTTGTCAATGTAACAAGTATATTTGTAGTATTAGCAGAAATGCTGCTGAAGAATTACAAGNTGGAGAATTGATTAATAATCCTTGCGCTAGAATTTCAATTCTATTTCCAGTTTCGTCAATGTAACAAGTATATTTGTAGTATTAGCAGAAATGCTGCTGAAGAATTACAAGATTGGAATCTTTTGTGCTAAGGAAAATCTGAGAATGTGAGAGTTGATTGAAGTGGCAGCTATTCTTGCCAGTAGTTGTAGTTGATTGGATGCTCAAAAAATTGATTTACCCATGCTGTTATTCTTTGCCTGGTGAAATTGTGCACTGTGATTGTGTAGGAGGGAAAATATATTTCAAGTAGTGAATTTTGTCTATTAGATTAACAATGAATATTAACAAAATAATCTGGACGTTCGAATGATTCTCTAAGTTGGGGATTCGAAATCTCTTGTACTTTATTGTTTATATTTATGTACTATTTATGAATGTCAAGTAAAAAACTTTTAATTTCTTATTTTATCCTTAATTATTATTATAAAAATAATTATATTGCTATACCTTTATCTAATTTTTGTTGCTATAAATTATTTGACTTTCAATTTTTTTTATAAATAGCATTTGATTTCCAATTTCTTTTGGACTCTTTTATGACTTATAAGTAGTACAATTACATACAATTTTTTGTATTTATGTCTATATCTGTATGAATTGAACTCTTTTATAATTAATATTTCATTTTCTAATTCTTTTGGACTCGTTTATATGTAGTACACTTACATATAATTTTTCGTACTTACATATATAACTATATGAAAGATGCATGGACAAATCTATATTTTAATTGTTTTAGACATGTAATTATTAAATTGAATTTTCAAATCAAATATATATTATATTTATTTTTTTGAATAATTAGGTTTAATATGAAATAAAATATAAATTAATTTTTGGATACCAAATTTTAATTTAATTACACATAAAATTTATATTTTTATAGATTCAACAAAAAAATTAGGATAAAATTATTTTCACCCCACAAAATATCCAATCTCACCCCAATTAAATAGATTCAGGTGAAGCTACTGCACCCATGTCATTCTATATCTACCCCATCAAGTACTAAACTCACCTCATTAGTATTAAAAATAGTGAAAATTATTGAAAATTATAAAGTTCGTATCTAATTTGTCAATAAGTCCAGCCACATACTTTTTAAGGTGTGAGGTCTAACTCAATTGAACTTTTAAGATAGGAGGTCCAAACTAATTTTTATCTTTTTTAAAAGTATAAAACTAACCCTTATGTCTTGCACTTTGTCCAACCAAGATCCATTGTCTTTCTCATGGGTTAAACGCAACTCTTTTTCCATAAGAATCCACCACCCACCCACCCTCCAACCAACTGTGAAATAAAAATAGTGAAATCCACGACAATGAATTCAATGANTGCAACTCTTCTTCCATAAGAATCCACCACCCACCCACCCTCCAACCAACTGTGAAATCCACGACAATGAATTCAATGACAATGAACTAAAATTTTCAACTCTTCTTCTACCTACACAATATATAATAGAACACATTGAATTTTTTAGTTTATTGTCAGCGAGTTCATTATCAGTGGGGGTGCGTGTGAGGAATGGGGGGTGGTGGTAGTGGTAGTGGTGGTGGGATATGGTGGAAGTTTTAAAATAAGTTCCTTCATTAAGGATATTTTTGTCAAGTGCGTATTTTATGGACCTTCGCCTTAAAAATGCATGATTTTATACCTCTCGCCTTAAAAGTTGATGATTTTGTACCTCTTGCCAAATCTCCCTAAAAACTGATATATTCCATCACAATTTACTTTCTCCCTTATTTTTTCTCTACCCTAACCCNCCTTAAAAGTTGATGATTTTGTACCTCTTGCCAAATCTCCCTAAAAACTGATATATTCCATCACAATTTACTTTCTCCCTTATTTTTTCTCTACCCTAACCCTAACCTTAACTCTAACTCTCCACTTTCCTTACCAACGACTTAAAATGGTGAAGTCATCAAGATTTTTGTCGTATAAATCCATGTATATTTCCTCAATGACATATTTTCCTCCACTTAAACTTAGATCATCTATTGCATCTTACCCCACCTTTTTATAAATTTTATGGTATTAGATTTAATGGGGTGGACTTTGAGATAGGGGTGGGCNCTAGTAGATAACGTAGAATGGGGTGGAAAAAGTAAATTTTATGGTATTAGATTTAATGGGGTGGACTTTGAGATAGGGGTGGGCCAAGGGAATTTGAAACCTAAAATGGTATCTCTAAATGAGGCCTTTTTATATTTAATTTTAAAATTTTTATTTAAAATTAGTTTTTCTTGTTTTTTAAGTCACAAAATTACTAATTAGGTTTTTATATTCAAGTTTTATTACCAAAACATTTTCAATTTAGTATTTTAATTAGAGTGTTTTCTTTTGTTTGTAATTTTTTTTAAAATATTTAGTTCTAAAAATAAATAAACCATCAATATGAGAAAAATTGCCAAATTTTAAGAAACATTCAAGATGAGACTATTATTTTAAACTATCATCGTTTAATAATTTTAATTTTTCTAAGTTAAGAAAACTAAAAATATTTTTTACATTTAAAATTGTTTTACTCTACTTTTTAGAAAAGAAATAACTTGATCAAGTATATATATATATAAAATCATTTTCAAAAGAGTCTTCAACAAGTTGTTTTATCTCATTATCAACATTTTTATTAAATTAAATTACCTTTTTGTATGAATTATTGATTTTTGTCAACCAACTTGACTTGTTTCTGTGAGAGTGAGCGAGGAGGGGGGGGGGGGGGGGG